ATATTTCCCCTTAGTACTCAAGTAAAGTACAGATACCCAGAAATTCTACTTAAGTCGAGTAAATAAGTATTTGTACTTAGTTACTTTACAACTCTGACAGTGAGGATTCTGTGCTGCTCTTCTGTCCTTCAGTCACCACTTGGAGAAGAGGAAGTGCAACACGGCCACCTGCGTCACCCAGCGGCTAGCGGACTTCCTGGTTCGCTCCAGCAACACCATCGGCACGGTCTACGTCCCGACCAACGTGGGCTCTTCCACCTACGGCAAACGAGACCTACAGAAGCCTCCAACCTATCTGCCTTTCTAGTATAAACCCAGAGACTCCAGTTTGTTTATTCGGTGATATAAAACCGATTGTGAGAATGACATTAACGATTGATTTGACCATTTAGGAAGCAGCAGTGCCTTTTAATTTAAAAACCAGTCCAATCTGTGACYCTTGTTCCAAACAGCATGATGAGACTGTACGAAACATACTTAATAAAACAAAAAAAAATGTAAGTCCATGTCAAATAAATGTTGTTTTTGATAATAAAATGTAAATATAAATCTATTTTTTAAACTCTACATGTGATTGCAGCAGCATGTCTTGGGTTTATGAAATGAATTCAGCAGGAAATATCCATAAAATAAATAAAAATTTGAACTTTGATGGTCTGCTCCAGATTGTTTTTCCTGCATGAGAAGAGAAACTGGTGTTTCTTTTATTATTTACCACCATTTCACATTTTTTCTTTGTAATCATGTAACCTCATTTGCTAAAGGTTGCCAAAATTTCATGTTTATTGTAATTTTTCCCCCTGAAAACTTAAAATAACATTTTGCACGACCACATGTAATATTTCTAGATCCATCAGGGCTCAGATAATACACTATTAATGACTACTGTCACGTCCAATTTTACCTCAATATATATAAAATGGACTAAATTACAACCATCAATTAGCTATGGGGACCATTTTGATTTGGATGGAGTCYACAAGTGAAACAGTTGTAAATGTACTGCTAGATTAATTACTGAGAGTTTTAACAAACACACCTAATTTTAACTCAATACCTGTAAGGCTGACTGAGTTACAGTCATGTTTTCATTTTGRTAATGTCAGTTAACTGCAGAGGTTTGAACTGGATCGGCTCCAAAGGTGAATCAACAAACAGCCGTGATTACTTTCATTAAAATCCATATATCTTTATTATCTCCCTTCTGCTGCAGTGATAATAAAAATTTATGGATATATAATGGGGCACAGATGCACATCAACTGTAGGACCATAAAACCTCTGATACAAAAAACAAATAAAACAATAAAAATGTAATTATAAACTTGTGTCCAAAGGGAAGTTCATAATCTGCTTCTAATACAGACTTGAAAGTCRAGGTTTCTTTTTGAACCTTTTCCCAATTTAGCCTCTATTAAATATTGTCTGTCTATCAAACTTTATCAATATTTTAACGCTGTGTGTCAGCAYTTGTATGAAAGTTTAATGTGCTGGTAAAGGTTTTAATATTTAATTTCTAATTAGTAAATATGCTGCTGCTTGGATCTGTCTCAGTCCAGTTTCAGTATCAGTTTTACAGATTTAGAGCAGAAGTTAGTTACGGTAGTAGCTGAGAGTCATGAACCATTGGGTTTTCATAAAACTTTGAGGGAAAGAATTGGATACACAAGATGGCAGCCACAGTTAGAAAACTTTAGAAAACACAAAAATACTTCTGAGACAATTTTACAGATACTGAAGGAAGTTTTGTTGTGGTGGAAGGCTGGAAGCTCAATTTGTCAAATACTCTGAGTGTCAGATTTTGATATATCATTTAAGATTCCTCACAGTGGGTATTTTATGCTGATCTTGGAAGATCTGAAAATATAAATTAATACCACTATAC